ATCTGTTTCAGTGATGTTTACTCCTGCTTTATGCCACAAGTGAAAGTAAAATAGAATCTCTTATCAGTTTCACTGCTGGTTACAATGTTAAAATAGAATTTTGAAATCTTTTTTTTTTCCAAAATGTTCTTCTCCACTTCCTTCATTGGAAGTCCTGGAACTTCACCAGTACAAACTAATTTTATCCTGCTACTGTTTCCATCAGTAGTATCAGGTTTGTCTCATTTGAAAGATGAAAAATGTGCTGAAAAATCTCGTAAGTATGCAGTACGCTGGGATGCCAAGAGACTCAGTTTGAAGGTAGTCTCTGCTGTCATGTTGTCTAAATGCCGCAGCTTCTGCCACCTCTCATGCATGTCAAGTTAATTGTTCTGGGAGGAGCTACAACATTATAGTGTTGACATTGCCAATAAGATAGTTCTGTTTGTTTTTAAGGTTTAGGAGAAGAGTAATTTTACACAACTTAAAGCATAAAATGGTTTGGGTTGGAAGGGTCCCTTAAGGATCATCCAGTTCTAAACCCCCTGCCATGGGTAGGGACACCTCCCACTAGACCAGGTTGCTCAAAGTCCCATCCAGCCTGGCCTTGAACACCTCCAGTGATGGGGCATCCACAGCTTCTCTGGGCAACCTGTGCCAGTGAATAATTTCTTCTTAATATGTAAATCTGTCTTTTAGTTCCCCTTGTCCAATGACTACACTCCCTGGTAAAGAGTCTCTCCCTTATCTTTCCTGTAGGCCCACTATGTTTACACAAAACAACGCACCACCACCACCACAAAAGAGTGCATATTTGGTAAACTGTTCAGCATCTTTGTTGCACTGAATTTCATTTTTTTAATATTTCTTGGCTGTTGTGGTAGGGGAGGAATACTTCTCTAAAAAATTAAAAGCAGATTGCATTTCACCAAAGGAAGAATGTGGCCTTGTCAGAGATTATCACAGATCGAGTTCTGTCTGACTTCTGATGTTGACGTTTTGGGGTGGTAGAACTTGCCTCATTTGCAGTTATATCTAAGAATAGTAATTAAGATTATGCACCAACAAGCTCACAGCTGTATTTATAAGCATAATTTATGCAATACATTTCAGTACAGTGGTTAGGTAGAAACATTAGATGTTAAAATTTTTTGAAAATACATTTTTGGATGATTATTGTTCAGTATTTTTGCAAATGCTTTTTAAATATTTTTCTTGCCTAATGCATCAATTCTCACAAATTGGAAATTGTCAGTAGCACAGCTCAGAGCACAGTGGAAATGCACAGGCATGGAACGTGTAAGATCTGCTATGAATAAACTGAAGCACTGCCCATGTTTGAACCCCTCTTGTTTTAATCTTTGATACCTGTTATTGAAATGCTGAACGTTTTGCTTTCTTACACAAGTAGTAGATTTATATTATTAACAATATGGCTAGCAGCAAACTTTGGGGCTTTAATTTTTAAGTTCAACTCAAAGTATTGATTCAAAGTGAATATATAAATATTTCCTTCAGAAATATTTATTAGAATAGAAAAGATCAGAACACGTGTCTGAGAGCATTGTTCACATATTTTATTAGTTCCTAGTTCCTAATTTCATATTAGGGGAGCATATTTTGTGATTTTCTTCTGTAATATTCTTAAGAGACAGTAGTATATTAAGGCTTTTTTTGCTTTAATCTAGTTTATTCCAGTTCTGAGGACTGCTCTCAATTTTAAAAACTGTTGTCATCCTACCTATTATATTTTTATTCTGATTATTAATTTTGTTAGAGATCTCTCTGAAGCCTGTTACGCATTCTCCTTTTAATGTGGTTTGATATATGAATTCAGAAAACTTATTACACTTTTCAAAACATCTACATTGTGGTTATATTTGTATAATGCTTAAACTTATAGGATGTGTTTTATCTATGGAGAAAAAGGTGCTATGCCCTTATCTTATTTAACAGATAAGGTGGCATGATAGGGATCGACAACTGAGACACCCTTCTATTTCTCTTTTAAAGAACCTCTACTGGCAAGATTTTAAGGCTTGGAGCTATGTATTTTAATTAAACACTTTTCTTTTCTAAATCCTCCATGGCTGTGGAATCTTGAATTAATTCAAGCTGTGTGCATTCATGCTTGGCAAAAGGGAAGAGACCTGGCCCATCAGAGTGTGGAAGTCCCCTTTTCCTTTCTGAAAGCCAAGATCTACTTGAGATATTGTGTACTGCTTGCTGCAGGGTATATTTTAATCATATTTCAAAATCCCAAATTGGGAGCAGTGGTACACACATGAGCAGTGTGCTAACTAGTCCTCTATGACACAACTTTGACCAAATTTGTTTTTTTTTTTTCTGATGTTGCCATAAATGATGAAGTAGCGGCTTTGTCCTTCCTGCATGTGTGCCAAACCCAGAGGTCAAAAGCCTTTGGCAATGTAAAAATCCCATGAGAGGTAGAAGAACATTTGCCAACCATTGGCTATTATCTGGTTATTGTATAAAAGTATGTGTTTTGTTTTTTTTTTTTTTTTAAGATAGCCTAGTCTGAAGGTCCTATTACCCTTGCTGCAATTGGGAGATGTAATTCTAAAATTGGTTGCCCATAAATAGTTTGACTTACCCTACCCTCTAGGCTGGATATCAGGAAAAGGCTTTTCACCAAGAGGGTGGTCAGGCACTGGGACAAGCTCTCCAGGGCAGTGGTCACAGCACCAAGCCTGCTGGAGTTCAAGTGTTTGAACAACGCTTTCAGACGTGTGTTCTGATCTTTTCTTTTGGTTGGTCCTTTGAGAACCCAGGAGTTGGACTCAGTGATCCTTGTGGGTCCCTTCCAACTCAGATATTCTGTGACTCAATTTTTCTGGGTAGTTCCTAGGTATATGCTCAAGTGATGAAGTATCCCACTCCTCTGATCACATCTGGCTCCACTTGGAATTCCCTTTTCCACTTTGAATTTCAGGCCAGTGGAGCTACAGGTTTGGGGATTTTTTTCTGCTACTTTTGCCACTATGGATCAGTTCACTCTTACAGGAAGTGTACTTCCCTGCCTCCCTTTTTTTTTCTGTTTACAGGAAGATTGTGTGATAGGTCTTGGAGCTCGTGCCCAACTCCCCCACTTCTGTATAGAAACCTTACTTGTTTTTGGAACTTAGTTGGCCTCACGTACTAGTTTTCTACATATTTATATGGGATTTTTCCTCTATAAATATTCATGTAGGCCTTGAATCATCTGATGATTGGGATTTTGCTGAAAATGAATACTTGACTCTGAAGTAATACCTTCCTCTTCCACAGAAAAAGATGAACAAATAATTGTTCTTTCCACCATGTTTCTAAATGGTACCTTCTGTTCCTTTACTTTTATTGTTATTTATTACTTTGCTCTAAAAATTTCAAACTGAACTTATACTTCCCGTATTTTCTCAATCTAGTAGACCAAAGGCCAACCATTACCTTCTTTGTAATGTTGAACTGGGTAGACACTGAAAGTTCTACTGCTTAAGTAGTTGAAATGCATCTTCAGAAATCTAGCTTTAAAGAAAAATATGTATTGATACTGTGCATATTACAAGAAAAGAATTTGTAGGGTGGATGTATTACTGCGCTATAGTATTTGAATTCATGTTTGAATGATGATGTGTAAGGTCCTTATCTTGCTATTGTACTCACAATTGCATGTTACGGGTAATTTGAACATGTGCTTTGACATGTTTTGTATGTATACCTCTATATACCTAATATAAAATTTTAAAATACCATACTGTGATTTAACCAAAATAACTGTAAAGATGAGAAAGTTTGGTCAGGTTTTCAATTCCTAACTGTTTTCTCAATTTTAACCTCATGTTTCTTTTTAGTAGGCAAGTAATCTTAAATGTCTATTCATAACTGATGCATTCCAAGTATGCTAAATCATGAACATGCATAGTGTGTATTTTGATGTTTTATAGTATTACATTATCATAGTCTGGCGTTTTAAGTGATTTTCATCAATAAGCCAAAACCCCATTCATTATATTGGTTTACATCTAAAATGCCATAAGAGAACAGTATGTCCAAAAGGCCACACCAAAACTTCTGGTGGGACAATATTTCTGGACACAGAACTATGACTTTTGCTGTCTTTCCATAAGAAGACACTCATGTTTTATGGTATATTGTTGGTGTGGAAAGCTGACTCAATTTTGTTGAAAGTATTTTGGGGTTGTTGGTAATCCTTTATGGTAGCGTATTATGTATTGAATTAGGCATTCATAATCCTTGTGTAGCACGTGAATGGCTTTTCTTAGATGTGCTTTTGATTTCTGAGTTCTTTAATCTACATTGATGTAACTTAAAAATTAAAAAAAAAAAAAAAATCCTATTCTAGCTCCTAATTGTAAGGAAGAGAATTTGTAAGGGTAAAGAGATAATATGATACCCATAGCAGATTTATTTTTCTTATAAAAATAAATGAGTGTAATACAGAGCCTATGGGCCAGAAAAGTAACATCTGTCTGTACAATGTGCTGCATCTACAGTGAGTGTAAGCAGGACAGTTTGTACATGTGCCTCAGACCCATCAAATCGGAGTGGCTGCATTCCAGCTGCTGACCGCTGCAGGCACTTGGCCTGTGCAGTGCCCCTGAGAAATGGAAATTGCTTGGAGGACCACTGGAGAGCCAGTCTATGAGCTTGCCAAATGGGACGGTTCTGGCAATTTTTTCAGCACAGGGGATTGAATGAGATGCCTGGGAATATTTTCAGGTGTATTGAATTTACCAGTGGAACCATGGCCAGTGTCTTCTATTGAAGCCACATTGATTAGAGACTTTCTACAGTAATAAGCTTCTAATAATTAATAGTTTCTGAAAACTGACATACTCTTTCGTGGTTGGTATCTGCTTCTAAACTACTGTTTTTCCTCTAGTCTTAAAGTAAATAATTATTTTTAACTATGCCATAAATGTGTGCACATCTGTGTGTGTAGATTCTCTGTATATGCATAATTTATATCTTGGTTTTCTCACAATCTGATTTCTTTTCAGTGGGATGCCATAACTGAAATGGATGAACACAATCGTCCCATTCATACATACCAGGTATGTAATGTGATGGAACCAAACCAAAACAACTGGCTGCGAACAAACTGGATCTCCCGTGATGCTGCACAAAAAATTTATGTGGAAATGAAGTTTACCCTGAGGGACTGCAACAGTATTCCGTGGGTACTGGGAACCTGCAAGGAAACTTTTAATCTCTACTACATGGAATCAGATGAATCTCATGGATTAAAATTCAAGCCAAACCAGTACACTAAAATTGATACTATTGCAGCTGATGAGAGCTTTACCCAGATGGACTTGGGTGACCGCATTCTTAAACTCAACACAGAAGTTCGTGAGGTTGGGCCAATAAACAAGAAAGGATTTTATCTTGCTTTTCAAGACATTGGAGCGTGCATTGCTTTGGTCTCAGTCCGTGTTTATTACAAAAAGTGCCCTTTCACGGTCCGTAACTTGGCCATGTTTCCTGATACTATTCCAAGGGTTGATTCTTCCTCTTTGGTGGAAGTGCGGGGCTCCTGTGTGAAGAGCGCTGAGGAACGTGATACTCCAAAATTGTATTGTGGAGCAGACGGGGATTGGCTTGTGCCTCTTGGACGGTGTATCTGCAGTGTAGGATATGAAGAACTTGATGGTTCCTGCCATGGTAAGAAAACAATGCTTGATTAAACATAGTCTTAAGATATTATATGAACAGTAAATAGCTCGTTGTGTCTGGGAAATACTGCATCACATTTTCAAGGAATGCCTCTTATGCAGAAATAAGCAATGTTGTTTAAAATCATTATACTATGGTTTCAAAGAAAATGTTTAGTTACTAAAGATTATTTTCATTTTGTTGAAGATCGATTTTTGTTGAATTGTGTAGATTCCTACAGAGTAAATGTTTACAGGCCAGTTGGTCACCTTGACTTCTTTAATAATTAGTGAACATAAGTGTCCATGTTGGAGCAGAGTCTTCTAATCTATTTTAGATGTGTATTTCAGGATGAGATAAGCAGTGGTGGAAGTGTTTCCCCTCTGTTCTTAGAAAAGGAAACTTAGTCACCTAATTCAGACTTAGGTCTTTGCTGTAGGTGCATGAAGATGAAGTACTCACCTGAAGAGATGATGCTGTCATCCATGCTTTGGTGGGTTTTAATGCTTCCATGCGTAATGTGTTCTAGAAAATCTGTAACTGGGTTCAATTGGAGAAGTTTGAGTCCCTATTCAGAATTAAAGCAAAAAAGCAGTTCAAATTGTGTTATCACCTTATGTCATGCTATGTGTCTAATACTGGTGTTTCCCAAAAACTAAGGTAAGAAATACAGTAAGCAAAACTGCTGCTGAAGTGTCAATACATCGGAGTGAGTTGCTGAATGCTGTTTTGCCTCCTTCTTGTATCTTAAGAGCTCTGTTTTAGAATAACTGTACTTGATCTCCCTTTGAAACTTTCACAGAGACCTCTGTGTGTGTTGGTGTGTGTAGAACAACATAGCACTGCACCTTGTTGTATGACAGAGCTAAGGATGTTTCAAACCAAGGCAGCTAACTGAAAATGGCTACAAGGGGGAATGTATCTTTCCGTATCAGCATCTTCCATATGTAGGTAGGACAGAGGACACATGCAGGAGGAAAAAGTATGTCTTTTGCAGGTGCTGTTATGCTTCATTAAGCCCCTTCTCTGCCACTCTTGAAAGACTGGTTGTGTTTGTCAGACTTTGATAATTGGGCTTCATGCGCAAATGGGAAAATTCAGATTACTTCTGTTTATAACGTGAATTTCTAAAACTTTGAGTCTAGTACTGTGCTTGAATATACCCCAAGCTTGTGACCTTGTATGGATTCAATTTGAGACTGACATCTATGGAGAATGTATGTTGAGACTTACTTTCCACCTGCCATGCCTTCAGAATAGGTGATACTTAGTGCTTGGGTAATACTTAATCATAAAAGGCATGCATTTTTTCATGCAATGGAGTTTTGTGGTAGTTGGTTGTTTTGTCAGCTTCAGAAACAGTGTACTAAAGAACACATGTACTTTTCATCATTTTTCTACCTTTCATGAGTTTCAGTTTCACATAGACTTTTTTAAAAGATACTCTTACTCTTCACTGTTGCAATGAATTGTAGAGAGCCTTACTAGCCATTGAGATATTAATCTGCTTTGGTTTAATTTTGTGTTGTAGCAAAAAGGGGGTAAAAAAAAAAAGAGGTCTGTGTCTATAAATTATGCAAGTGAGATTTCTGTTGCCTAAATATTCTGCTCAAGAGCTACTCAGATTTAAGTAAGCTGTGCAGTGACCTTGAGATATACATGTAGAATATTAAAAGCATGCTATACAATGCAATCAGAGAATGAAATCTGCTTACTGTTTGTTGTCTAATCCTGCTGCTGTTAATTATCAAAATATACTCATCACAAAGTTTTGACAGTGCCATTACTGGAAAGAAATATAATTTTCTACAAAAGGTCAAAAGGTCCCTCTCTTAATGGGATAAGGATTTTCTTCGAGACATTAATACTTGATGAATTTCTGTCCATTATGAGAGTCATACTCTAGAACTGTACAGGAGCAATAAAACCAGCAACCAAAGCCCACATAAAATGTCAGGAAACCATTCTGCTGTGCATGGACTCCACTCATTTATTCAGTTGACCATACAATCTGCTGCTGAACAGGTACCTATTAGATTAAATGGAACATTTAGATGAGTATTCACATATTCTTACCTTTTTGCCCCAAGAGCAACAGATAACTATTTTAGATGATCATAATCTATTAGAGCTTCTGTATACATTTTGAAACCATTTCCATAGGTGTCTAAGATTTTCTTTTCAGTTATATTCAATGTATATTAATATTAGTACTACTTTTTCTGACAGTTTCTCAACATTTATTTGTTTTATTTCTTGGTGAATTTAACCTCACTAATGCCCACTCTCTTGGGTTTTGCTTAAGCAGTGACTTAGAGTTTCTGTCAAGATGGCTTATGTTTCCCTTTGTGCCAAAACTTGTAGCAGAGATGTGTGCTTGGGTGGCTGCGGATGCATTTTTGCGAGTTTTTGAGTACTGTGAACTTAGATCACCAGCTAAGCTGACAGCAGGCTTCCAGACAGCCTTAGCAATTTCAAGAGCCTTGCTTCTAGGCTGAGGCAAGGATCGGAAGTTTGGAGTTAAAAAGACTTGTCACCAATCAATAAATCCTGAACCAACTTGTTCTTAATCATTACATCTTAAAGCACTTAAATGATGCTACCTTTCTGTGGAAAGATTGTGAAATGTACACTTGCCTCGTTTTCATAGAAACATAAAGGTGAAAAAAACCACCTCTGCATCTATTTATTGATACAATATATTTTATACAATCATGTATTTTTGGTTCCCTTTCCACCCTACACGCCCACTAAATCCAAATCCAAACCTGAACCCTCTTATCCCTTCCATTCCACCATTACAAGTCTGAACACGGGAAGGGAAGCATTGGATGCTGTTCTCTGTGTTTCTCAATAGGCATCCCAATACCAGATGTATTGGAAATATAGGAGAAGGTTACTAGAGTAGAACTAATCTAAACTGATTGCCATTGTTTTTCTTCTGTGTGACAGTAACTTTAAAGATAATGTTATTATTTTGGAATGTCTTCTGGCAAGTAGTTGGGTGGTGGGCAGCATATAGGCTAATACCTGAATGTTTTTCCTACCTCCAAATGGAGTCAAACTTTCAGTTACACACTAGTGCACGGTTCAGTGAGGAATAGTAAGCTTTCGATTATGAGTATGGCTTATCTATCACAAATCTTAAAAAGTACATCTCTATATTCAGGAATTACTACATCGCATTACTACTTCAGTTATACAAATGAGTTGGTTTTATATGCATCTCTCTTTGTCTGTGAAACTATCAGTATTCCTTATCCATTGTTTGCTTTAGAAGTGTAGTTTCAGAGTGACAGTGTCTGGAAAAGAACTGACAACTGGATTAAAATATCTGTTTTTATTAAATGTCTACTTGAATGCATCTAGAACAGAGGGATGTTGATAGAGATTTTTTTATTGATTTGGGCATTATCTTGCTTTAGTGAAGTCAATGGAAAAAGTCTTATTGACTGCAAGATGCTCATGGTTATTCATGTATTGTGCATGTTTCTTAATGGCGTAGCCTGAAGGGGGGAAAAAAGCCATCTTCTCTGAACTGGTTCTTGATTCATTACATGTTAATAAATGTGTAGGAAACAATAATTTGGCATTGCTAATCACAAACGTCTTGAGTATGAAACATTTGCTTTGCTAGATCATCGGTACCAGCCCCTGTAACAAGTGAGTTAGTCATAGCATAAAAGGAAGAGATGCTGCATAGGAGATTAGATGCATGAGATGCTAAACATCAGTTAAAAGTAGCCAGTTCAATGCAGTACCTCTTCTGAATTTCAGTTCAAGACAGAGGTCATCTTGGACTTAACAAATGCATAATATATGCAGGCCGTATGTTCATGAAAATTGTAGAATGGTTTGGGTTGGAAAGGACTGTTAGAGATCATCTGTTTCCAAACCCCTGCCATGGGCAGGGATGCCACCTGCTTTTTGTATTTAAAAAGAAAAGCAATGAGGAACAAAGGGTTACTTTTATTCTTGTGAGCTAAGGAAAAAGAAAATCAGTGTCTTGTTTATAAAGTAGTGAGAGTGGATTTGACAGGTATCTGCAATGTAAAAAGGATAACTGGATGTTTTGAAAAACAGTACAAACATGTGGCTCTTACACTTAAGATAGTTTTAATGAAATAGGTTTTGTGACACTTTTCAAAACTGAAGTGAGTCTCTGCTAAGTTAGTTCTGTTATGCCTATTTGAGTTCTGGTTATATTAGTTGTCATATAAACTTGACAGTTCAGAGAACTGAACAGTTCTCTTAAGTATGATATACTAATAATTGGCTGATTGCTAATTGAAGCTTGATTTTATTTTTTTAATGATTGACTAAAAAGTATCTGAATTAATCAAGGTTAGTAATTAATTCAACTACACGCAGCAAATACTAATTATTATAGCAGCCTTAACATTTATTGTAGACCAACCAAATGCAATACAGAAGTGTGTTTTAACTTCTTAAAGTAGACTTTTCTTGAGGAGTATTCTCAGGAGCTGTTGTCCCTTAACACCTCCCCTTCCCTCCCAATAACGTAGCATTGTTGAGGCAACTTTTAAAATGTGTTGTAACAGGCATTGACAGACTTAATTAAATTAAAACAAATAACAAGAGAACAGAAACATGATTGAGTTATTTGAACTTTAGTTGCCCGAACAACACTTCCTAGGGATACTAACGCATGAAAATATTTAGAGTTCGATTAAATGAACAAATACTTTTGTTATTCATTACTCAAAATTGTGGTAGTGTTTCTGTGTTAGGGTTTGTCTTGGCGGCCTGTCTTCAGTCTTTCTGTCTGATTCAATTAGTTTGTATTTACAAAGTGAAAATACTTTCTTACCCTTCTCATCATTTGAGAGCTGATAGTGTGACTCCCTGGTTAATACAATACTTGCCAGTAATAAAGATACTTTACAAACCCTAGTGAGCTATGGTATGGAAACGTGGCAACTGCTTTGTGACAGTTCATTAAAACCACACAAGCTCATGATGTGGTTGTGCTTTAGTTAGCTATCTGC